TCTCTTCATTGCTGTAAGCTGCGACCACGAGGTACCAGCCACCAAGTATGTTATTATTCTTCTTCTTCTCTCTCTCCTGCACTGGCACCGACACCGGCATCGGCATCGGCATCGACATCGACATCGACATCGCCCATCAACTCTCAACTCTCAACTCTCGTCGCTTCTCTCTCTCTATCTCTGTTCGGTCGTGGGTCACGAGACTCACGACTATGTTTTTTTTATATAAGTACGAAGAATTACACTTACTACCCCACTACATTATAACTTTTTACTTTTAAGTATACATAAGTACCATTAATTTAATTTGATACCCTTCATTACTTTTTTAATATTAGTAAATTATATTAGTGACTTAAATAGTAGATGAAATATTAATAAAATGTCATGTTATTATGAGTCTAAATTTTTTTTTAAAAGCATATAGATTTTATGATTAATTATTTAAAATTGCGTTGTATCTTACGATACACGATGCGATACGATACGATACACTATTTTTTAAAAACGATACACCTTTCGACACACGATTTGATAACTATGGTCTCAACAGCCTTATGGCGTCGTGCTATAGAAGAAGAGATGTACGCACTTCATGACAATCATTCTTGGGATCTTGTTTTGTTGCCTCCTGTTAAGCAGATTATTGATTGTCGATGGATCTACACAATTAAATTTCATCCAGATGATTGTGTGGATTGTTTCAAAGCTTGTCTAGTTACTAAAGGCTACACTTAGGCCTATGGTGTTGACTATGCGGAAACTTTTTGTCCAATGGCTAAAATCTCTTCTATTCGGTTCTAATATCTCTTACTGCTCATCTTGATTGGCATTTATTTCAATTAGATGTGAAAATTGTATTTTTACATGATGATTTAGTGGAAGAGGTTTATATGGAGCAACCACCTAGGCTTGTTGCTCAGGGGAAGTATCAGAGGACCATGTGTAAGTTACAGAAAGCATTGTATGGACTGAAACAATCTCCACAAGCATGATTTGAAAAGTTTTTAGATGCAGTATTGGATTTTGGTCTCCATAGATGTCAGACAGATCATTCCGTATGTTACTTACGTACTAATGCAAGTTACATCCTCCTCGTTTATGTTGATGATATTGTGATTACTACTGACTTAGTTGGTATTACCAAGTTGAAACAATTTATGTAACATCGATTTCACACCAAAAATCTAGGCAAACTTCATTATTTCCTTGGTATTGAAGTGGCTAGATTGAAACAAGGCATTAGCTTGTCCCAAAGAAAATATGTGATCATTTGGTTTGTTTTAAAAACAGTTTTTTGTTCTCAGAACCTTAAAAAAAATGAAAACTCAATTGATTAGAGTTTTTGGTCTCAAATTTTCAGAAAAAAGTGAGAATTGAATCAAAAAAATAGAAAAGAAGTCACACTTGTTTTTGGACTTTTATGCCAAAAATTTAAAAAACACGAAAACTTTTTAGACTTTAATGAGGTCTGCCCTTCGAGTCCCCTTAACAGCAAAACTACTCCTAGTATATATAGACTTCCTTCTCTTTTTTTTTTCCGTCTCCTCTCTCTCTCCACTTTGCCCATCAAACTGAACGAACACACCTGTGGCTCATCTTCTCTAGCACTCTCTCTCCACTTTTCACACAGGCTCGTCTTCTCCAGCTAACAAATAGAACGAACACTCAGATCTAATCTCTCTCTCTTTCGCAACAACTAAAACTATGTATATACACAGATCTGTGTGCGTCTGTGTATGTCTCGGTGTATGCCTCTGTGTGTGTGTGTGTGTGTGTGTGTGTGTGTGTGTGTGTGTGTGTGTGTCTGTGCGCGTCTGTGAGTGTGTTTTGTGGAGACAGAAAGAGGGGTGGAAATTGGGGATTATTGTTCAAACAGATTTTATAATTTTTATTCTTTAAAACTATTTTCAAAAATATATAACTAAACAGGTTTTGCAATCACTAACTTTTTAAAAACACTTTCTTAAAACTCTTCCCAAAAATAATTTTCAGATACTATTTTTTGAGATACAAACCAAGCAGGCCCAAAGTTTTCTAGGTGGTCGATCAATTGATGTCTCTATAGATCCAAACCACAAACTCTCAGTGAATGAAAGTGAATGTTTCTCAAATCCTGAACAATATCATTGACTAATTTGGAAGTTAAATTATCTTACTATTACCCAATGATCGAAATACAGTTTCGGAGTACTGTTTCGATTAACTCAAAAACGAAAAACGTTTCGGAAACACAGAAAAAATACGAAAACAAAAATAAAATCTATTTATTTATAAATATAAGCTTAATAATTGATTAATTGAGCATGTTTATTGGGTTAACATCCATTTATACAAGATAACATCAAGTTGGAGGAAAAAAAAGACTTGATATGGGGTGAAAATCAATTCAATTAATTTCAAACACTTAATTTTCATAAAAGCAAAAACACATTTTTCCATGTATATATGACATGTATAACACTTTTAAATTAAAATGAATACAAATTTATTATTTTCATGCTATTGTAATACTAAATTACGAATTTAAATTGTGTAATCAAATTACTAAGGAATATTATTTCATTAATATTAAAAATATTGCATGAACAATTTCAGATATTTAATAAACCATAAAATTAATTATAGTTATTTATTAATAATGATAAGTTAATTATTAATTGCGAGGGTTATTAATAATTATAAAAGAAAAAAGGGGGGTGAAGGGCATTAATGTTAATTAAAAAAACTAAAAAATGACAAATTAAATTTAAAACACAATAAATGGGGGGAAATAAACAGTCTGTACTGGTGCTTCTCACAGACGCACGCTTGATCGAATGAGAAAGGAGGAGAAGTTCTGAGAGTCAAATCATTAAAGACCCACTAGATCGATGAAGACTCAGATTTGAGAGACAGAATACTCAAATCAATGAAGATCAAACACCAGCCACCGGTAGAAAAGGAAGTAAGAGAGAAGAAAAGAAAGGAAGAAGATTGTACCTAGAGGACACTGGATTTGGATGTGATCTGGACTCGACAACCCCGATAAGCTGTTGACTCTTCTCCTTTCAATTTCTAAACACACACACTCTCTCTCTATTTTGCTGAAAACAGAGATGATGAGAAGAACTCTCACCTTTTTGGCTTCATAAGCAATTTTCTAAGCACAACGATCTCTCTTTCTATCTATCTCACTCAATCTCAATCTATCTTCTATTTTGTTGAAGAAGGTTGTCACAAGAGGAAGAATTTACCCCTTTTTTGGCTAAACACTATAATGTTTTGAAAACTAATCAAATCAAATCCCTTTTTCGATCGAAACAGTGACGTTTCGCTCGAAATAGAAATTTTTATTTTTCACCCCTGTTTCGTGTCGGTGTGTTGAAAATCCGAAACGTTTCGGATGTTTCAACACGATATTTCGATCATTGTTATTACCCGACCATATATATCTTATGCAATGAGTGTAATAAGTCAATTTCGGGAAACTCCTCAAGTATTACATTGGGATGCAGATATCCGTATTATCAGATATCTCAAGCGAGCTCGAGGACTTGAATTGTTGTATGAATCTCATGGACATCTTAGATTGGAAGGGTTCACATATGCTAATTGGACAAGTTTCTCCTTAGATAGGCAATCTACTACAGGTTATTGTACCTTCTTGGGGGGTAATTTGATTACGTAGAAAAGTAAGAAGTAAACAATGACGGCACAATCTAGTGCAGAAACCAAGTACAAAGCAATGGCTAACACGTGTTTTAAGTTAACATGGTTGGAACACTTCCTTGAGGAAATTGGTTTCAGGTAGAGAGATTGTAACCATGGTTACCACAATTCACTCAACTCCTAACGACCCACGATCTGAGTACATTGATCCCAAACGGAGTGGGTTTGCGATCTAGATCACCAAAATGAACAACCCCAAATTATAATACCAACCCTAAATCAATTCGCTTTAAAACATGTAGCACAAATATAAAATATATATTAATTGACTACATGTATATAAATTTATAATTATACGTTGTTTTAGATAATAGAAAATCACGCACAACTATAAGATAAATGATAACTGACATAGTGTTTGTAGATGTTCTGTAATATATAATGTTGTATAGTAGTGAAAACGATCTATATAAAAATTTTAAAATGAATTGCGACCCAAAATATCGTACCAGCTAAGCTTACCCCCATTGTACCACGTACCTAAGAATGTGTTGTACCATGTACTCGTACCCGTACCACCTATCAAAACGACCCACGATTCAAGTAACATTGCTTGTAACACATATCGCAAGATTAGGTATAGCCAAGGCTAGGACATATACTCGATAGGTCACTCCACCCCTTGCCAACTGGCTTTGGATTGGACACCATATAATGATATTCGAGTTATGTCTTGGGTGACTAGTAGGCCAAATCTCTCAATCAGTTAAATTCCTCATTTGTTTGTCTATTTTCATCAGCTTAGTCCATTAACCCATGTACAAATGTGGATCACATATGAAAAAGGGTGCGAAAATAGTTTGTATCCCGCACCAAAAGACTATGTGTACCCAAAGTCTAATCATTATATACTTGAGGAGATACTCCAATCATTATCAATTAGTTTTGAGTTGGATACTCTAAGTAATCCAAACCAAGCCTTTGTGGGATTTACTACATGAATCCTTTCGATCATTATACTTTGTCAAGGGTTATATGTTCAATATAATTATAAACACGCATATCCTTTTTCACTACATCATTCAATCTCAATTTTCATATTCTCCTTCCTTTAGCATTTCCACTAATGGTGATTATATCATTCTTCCTTACTAGTCTATCTATCCGTCCTTATTGTCAACTCCAAAAAAGTAGGTGATATCACAAACTAAACGAAATAGAATCATTGACTAACTAGGACCTACACTCGTGTCAATTCCTTAATTGCATCATCCCCATTCAAACTTTTCCTTTAGTAACCACTCCCCTAAGGTTTTTTGTTTTTGGCACATTACAACTTCAATATGGGTTTAAGTTCTTGTCCTAGCCATTATCCTCTAATAACAGTAAGGCATACCAACACAATCCAAAGTTCCAATATATCAAATATCAACTTTCATAAAGTTGATGCAAAGCATGAAGCAAGACGAAAAGCATGGAATAGAAGGCATACCTCTAATTCATGGATGATGGCAGCAGTGCGCCACCCAGCTTTTGAAGGTCCTCTAAGGTCGCTAAATAGGTGATCCCCAAAGTATATCACCTAAAATTAGTGTTACAACAAGAGAATACCAGTCAAAAGGTAAAAAAAATCCTAAGTAGCCTAAAGAAGTAAGAGGGAAAGGAAATATTTTTTTATCTTCACGGATTGTCCCTATCATCCAATCATAAAATTATTCAACATGGACATGTAACAACAAATTAAACATATCACAAAATCCAAAGTACTATAGTATATTATGTCATGTACCTCCGGACCATTCCATTTTGTAATTTGTAAGAAAGATTTAAGGCAACCATGGTAGTAAACTTTATTTGGAAGAAAAGCATCCACCTTCGTGAAAGCCAAAGTGTCCTTCTCTATGTCATAACAACTACATTAAGTTGCAAAACAAGTATTAGGAAAGAACACCAAATATCATATGAGTAAAGCATCTAATCGCTTGTCTTTGAAGAGTTTAAGAAGTAAAACTAGCGAGTAGGATATGACAGTGGCAAAATGAATTGTCAAAGAAATAGCGCAAAACAATATATTGAAATCGATAAGTAAATTTATTTTCTCTCTCAAATATATTTATTTTTTATAAGAAACAAAAACTTCCATTTCATGCAAAGTTGTAATAGAAAAAGGTGATTAAGATATCCAACGTAAATTAAAAAGAAATCATGAAGAAAATTACACTATAAGCTCCATCAATTACAAACAACTTTCCAATTATTTTGCAGCAACAAAAAAGGAATATCTCAAAATCTATTGGTCCTTGCACCCCAGAAAGATGCCAAAAACTTAACTCTATCACATAACAAGCTGTTATTTCTCTACAACCACACCACCCAAAATATAGACATGATAGCACATCCCAAAAATTTAGAAACCCTTTTGCTTCGCCCAAAGCCATCAAAATGTTCCACAGGTACAGAAATGATCTTGAAACTGTTCTCTTTCCATAATTTGTATCTTTCACACCTAAAAAGATCATCTAAATGGAGTGTATGTACATTATTTTGGAATCAGATATCACAGTTGAAGTTGGAATGGGAATGATAGACCCTCTTCAATTGGAGAGAAAAAAAGGGTGAAAGAAAAACTGGAGTATCTGACTTCTCAGGTCTACAATTCCCTTTGTTTCTGTATCTCCATTTTCACTTTCTTTCTATCCAACCTCAACGCTGATATCCTATCCATTCTTGAAAAGGGTTTCAGATTCTGAAATCATACAGAGAGAAGCAAAAGCACATAGGCCAAGTATAATGTGTATCCATTAAAAACTTCCAGAGGTCCTTCACGAAACTTAACAAGCAGACCAAGACTGTAAACATCCAAAAAAAATGCCAAGATGCAAAAATATATACATACATAATTTCATGCTATAAACAGGGCATCATTTCAATCTAACATGCAAGAGGATTAAAAATTTTAAAAGAATATTATATACAAATATGTTCCAAACAACTAGAAAACCAGAGTTGAAGGAAAGAACCGGAAAGGATGCTCCGATGTGTAAAATTCTGGCTTGTTGGCTTTAGCAATTACGACATCAAAAAGTTCTCTCCAGGAATCTCTATAACCCAAAGAATCCTATTATCATATCAAAGACAACAACAGACAATTTAATCTCATTGTTTGAATGTACTCTCCGAAAAGATGGAGAACAAAGAACTATGAATCAAGAAGCAGTCAAACACAAATAAGAATTCCTTTTAGTTACACATTCAAATTATACTCTTGCACGCAGCAAGGATAAAGTGATGTGATGTATCTCTACATAGTTTATTTGATTTGGAGTAGTAAGCTCCTGCATGGTTGAAAATAAAAAAATGAATCCTTTTGATGGTTCCAAACCAAAGGCTTTAAATTCTATGTGAAAATAGGCATCAGCATTGCCTTTTAAACCAGTTAGTTCATTCAGCGGAAAAGTCACACAGAAAACCGTTTTATGACGTCACAAAGTTTAGCTTCTAACACATAATTATCTCCACATATATTCTACTAAAAGGCATCACATTATAAAGAAATTCCATCTAGCATAAAGCAAAGTGATCAAAATGTATGTTTCCAAACCAACATTAAAAAAAGAAGTGCAATTACAAACCGTAGTACTTCCACAATCACACATATCAAGAAATTATCCTACTTCTAACATTTTCTAGAAGCAATGGTACTCTTGCACATCAGGATCAAGGAGGTCACTGAACTCCTAGATTGTGAATGATGTATATGATACCAAGTATCTTAATGTATGCATACACACATGCACATCCACACATACACACAGACATAGAGAGGAAAACCCTAGATAACTAAACCAGTCTGTCATATCTTCTATTACATATATTTACTGGGGTTAAAAGTGATCTGGATGCTAGTATGATATAAACCTCGCTCCACTAACTCATATCGGGTTATCAGTTCATATGCTATGAAATTAACTAGTAATTGTTCAAGACCCTTCACTAACATTGACATATTGCCTGTATTTTCATGCAATATAAGAAAACAAGAGGCAAATTTCAAAAAAGCAGAATGTTGTTTGAATCTATATGTTCATCACAACAATCACTATTACCAAATTTTGTCATTTATAAAACTAGATGATAAGGGATCATTGCCTAGTGCAGTGATCGATTGCTGCAGGTAACAACCATAAAAAATGTGGCTATAAATATGACAGTACCCACTTTGTGTAAATAATGCCAAAGGTTATCTGTGCACCCAGTCCACTCCAACCACCCCCATTTAACAGAGACCATTTTTTTTTTTTTGAAGTAAAACAGAGACCATATTGGGTAATCACCTTTTTTATAAAACTCAATAAAAAAGGCCAAATGAAAGTAGATATGCTGTCTCTAGTAGTTCCACTTTTACGGAAGAATAAAGTGAAAAGATCATAATATAGTCATTTGTAAGATGCCAAGAAAGGAGCTTGCAGGATATCATTTGACATCAGAATCACCTCCAACATAAAGCGCATCCCTCCATCCACAAAATGATAGGGAGAGTTGGTCATCAAAAAAAGTTTTTTCCCCTTCTCCCTCAGCATCCTGAGAAGGCGTAACATCTGACCCTGGAATATTTATAAGAACAAAGTTTGGTGTCTTTAGCACGAAAGATTCCAGCTGATTATGAGCCACAAAAGTGAAAATTAGTTTTAAAAAAAAAAAAAAAGAGTTCCATATAACATACATTTTTTACAAGGTATCTGTGGGGATCAGACAGAATTCCTCTATGAACCAAGCCACTTCGGTGAGCATACTGAATTGCACGATTTACATCTTGATAGACATAACAAGCATCAAATTCCAGCTTAGCATCAACAAAATGTTGCACGATATCAGCAATAAGACACGCCTACAAAATAAGAAAGAGCAAAAGGTTTCCAAAAGTATAAAAATTACTAATGCAATTAACAAAAAAAAAAAAAAGTTTAAGGAGGGTTCCACAGCCTAATAAGCTATCATATAATTAAAATCCAACCACCAACATAAATGACAATTCATGCCACATTCTCCACAAGAATGTCTCGCAAACAAGGAAAGCATAAAAATAGAAAGGTGGAATGTATAGTCTTGAAGGAACTAGTGTTTTGATGTACCAGATGATCATACAGCGGATTGGGACACTTCAACAATCTAAATCTATTATGTCTGCTATGATGACTTTGGATTTGAAGCGATTGCTTAGGCTTTATTTGTTAGTCCACTTATATTGACTTTGATAGCACAAAATTTTTAATTGGATGTCCCCATTAAGTGAAATTGATACTTTTTGTTTTTTACTTTTTTATACACTCTTTTAAAAGAATCATCCTATTGTTGCCAAAACTTTGGAACGCGAACAATTGTACATATTGTATAAGGAAAGCATGTTCAATCAAATTTGGATTTTGTATTGATACCATTGTTATCAAGATCGTACGATTTGTGATTCGATTCGTAAGATTTGATTTGATTTTATTTGATTTAGTTCCCATTTGATTCGTATCTTACTATAGAATCATTTTTTGTCAAAAATTGCTAAAAAAATCGCACAATTCGTTTTATTATTTTTTTTTAACCATATTCTAATAAAACAACGTCGTTTTGCTAGAAGAGACCCACCCCTAAATATAAAACTCGTGTCTCTCTCTGTATCTCCTATTTGCGTCTATGCCTCTTAAGCAATTGTTCAAGCATCTGTAAACATCACATAGAAATGACATCTCCTTCACTCCAGGTATTCTTCTTCAAAAATAGCTACCAAACCCTAATATACCCTATTTATTCTTCTTTCATAAATGCTCTATTTTTTGTTTTTTATTAAAAATTTATTTTTCAACCGAATGTGGAAAGTGATTTTTTAGTCTACATGTTCGAATCAATATGAGTTTTTCCTATTTTAGTTTAACTTCGTTGGTAGGAAGACAATAGCCATTTGTTAGTTAAAAATCGTGCATCTTTCATCGTGGTCATTTTGAGGGAACGATTCATTATGTATTAAAAGAAAAGTAACAGATGTACAAATTCAAGTGTAGTTTTATAAAAATTTATCACAGAGACATCTCTTTCACTCTAGATATTCTTCTTCAAAAATAGCAACCAAACCCAAACAAACCCTACTTCTTCTTCTTCTTCTTATACTTTAATATATGCTATGTTTTTTATTTTTTTATCAAAACTTAATTTTTCAATCGAATGTAGAAAGTGATTTTCTAATTTACATGTTTGAATCAATGAGTTTTTCCTATTTTAGTTTAACTTCTTTGGTAGGAAGACAATAGTTATTTGTTGGTTAAAAATTATACATCTTTTATCATGGTCATTTTGAGGGAACAATTCATTATGCATTAAGAAATAAATAACAGAGGTACAAACTCAAGTGTAGTTTTATAATGATTTATAAAATAGCATCTTTTCATTTGGACAACGTGATCATGTCAATACCATCAATTGATTATTTTTAAAATACAATAATGTTCAATACTTAATATCTTTCCTGTTTTAAATATGTACGTGTTATTTTTTATAATTGTTCGAATTTTGTGTCGAATCTTACGATTCTCGATTCTGAAATTTAGGATTCGATTCCCGATACAAATCTCGATTTGATAACTATTATTTATACACTTTTCCAGATATTAACCTTGCCAAGATGGGAACACTACAATTCCTTTATTAAAATAAAAACTAGCACTACTTTATTAATATACATTCACGGAAAATATTGCTCATTTGGCCAAATGATGCGAAAAAGATCCCATGAGTGAGTTAAAGAATGTTGTCAAGACATTTATTCAAGTTAAAAGAAAAAATAAAGGACAAAGATACAGTGGATCGCAGCAAGAAGCACAAGGACTCTTCCGACATTATGAACCTTAAGTTCATGAATTACGGTAGTAATTTTAGTACGGACTTTAATTAACATTCTCACTATCTATGTTTAGGTTTTATAATTATGACCTAGAATCAAGAGATTATGTATTGTTTAATTCCAAGGATTTACTCTTTCTTCTAGGTCTTATTTTCTTATAAGCAGAACTTGCCAAAAGTATTACAATAGACTCATAGTTAGTTAATAAAATTTGCCTTTGGCTCCAATGTTTTGTTGAAAACAACTGGGTTTTGCTTAGTTTAGCACACTGTTCGGGTTTTTTCATTTGTTTCCCTTTCTAAAACTTACACTTTGATGTGAATAAAAGAATTATTTTATCCTCTCACATTCCTGAATACATTAATCAACCCTAAATTTTTTAATAGATACAACCTATGAAGCACGTATACTTCGTTGAGGTTAACGTATCCGTATCGGATACGATACTCGTCGGATACTCAAGGATACGAATCGGATACATCTTCTACGAATCCGATAATAATTAAATATTAAGATACTTCACAGATACTTTTATAGCAAAGCAACATAAATAATTTTTTAGTTGAACTTTTAACATCTCTTTTTGAATTCACATATCATACAATATATTAACAAAAATTTTATATTACTTCAAAAGCACATGAATATTTTTTAAGTATTATCTACAATTATATGTTAAAAGATTATATGGTAAAACTATTACATTATAATTTTAGCAAAAATTACTTCTAAATACTAGGTAAATATTAGCATTAATTCCTTTAATTAATCACTTCACTTTATAAATATACCACAGCGACACAATATATATTTTCTTGAAACTAAAAAGAATTACTAATTTTTCTTTTTATATGTTAAAGAACTACCAAAATATATAAGTGTTAAGTTGGTTGAAAATAATAAAAATATTAAATATATTTTATTATATCCGTATTCTGGCCGTATCCGTATCCTATTTTTTTAGACTTTATCGTATCGTATCGTATCGTACCCGTATCCCGTATTCGTATCTGTGTTTCATAGAATACAACTATGCACTAAACATTGTACACGGACGAGTTAGAACAAGCTTGGTGTCAATCATATCAAGATCCTTTTCAAATGTAATCTCAACTTACGGGGTAGAAAAAGTAGGATAAAATACCTCAAATGATTGAAAACATAATTGATTACTAAATAAAAACAAGATAAATACATGAACTCACAAGGTTTTAGACAACAATACACCAGTAACATAACCAACCTCACTAAAGCAGAAAAAATCCATCAAACCAACGAGTCCGCGAGCTTGATCACGGCCAATGTGCCGTGTGCCATAAATCTCTTCTATTTCCTTTCGGCTTAGCTAAAAATTTATATCAACGAAAGAAGTAAGAAATTTTCTAGATAAAACAGTTGTTTAAATGACAACTCAACCGCATTAAGCTCATGCGGGATATTCACATTAAGTCTTGATATTATTATCTACACAATACATAAACAGATGAAGCATACACAATTTCAGGTCCAACTTTTTGTTATGACCTTCATCATTGATGAGACTATAATTGATGAAATCCAAATAGAAGACCACAATAAGGTGCTTTAAATTTAAAAATAAAGTGAAATGTGTGGGGATAAATAAGGACTTTAAAAAGTATATCTAGCAAAAGGAACAAAATAACGAGCAAACTATGTTGCTAACTTGCTATCAAAGACTAAAAAACTACATAAACATTGCTAGCATAGACTATACATAATAGCGCATTTTTTCCCGTATCTTTGTTTAGAGCCATGAAGTTAGAATATAGACTTCCTCAATGAAATAAAGAATGATAAATGAAAATAAAGAGTGATAAATGAAACGGAAAGCTAAGGGGTTGTTTGGTAAGTGTTTATGTCCTGTGTTTTGTGTTTTTGTTTTCAATTTTTGTTAAAAATGAAAATAAAAACATGTTTGGGTACTGTTTTTGTTTTTTTTATATTAGTTATTTTAGAGACAAAGACAAAAAAATGGGAACAAAATTTTTTTGTTCCAGAAAACACGCGAAACACAAGACACGAGTTTTCAATTTAAATGAGGTCTCACTTTCGAGTTTTGTTAGCCACAAAATCCCATTTCATATGAGAGAGTATAAATATGGGGTATTTTGTCATTTTCCTCCTCACAGATCAGTCCTTCGCAGCCTCGCTCGTCTCAACCACTCTCTCTCTCTTCTATGAAGGGAAGAGCAACGACTCTCTCTCAACACGTCTCTCTTCTCCGGAGCTCTCTCAGCAACTCTCTCTCTTCCACTCACAGATCCACGAAGACGAAGAAGGCTCACAGATAAAGGAGGTAAGTGTAACCCCTTTACTTGTATAGATATATGTAAATATATATGTATATATATACATAGATCTATATATATATGCTTAGATCTCTTGTTAATCCTTCTTGGTTCGTTGTGTTATGTATCGGTAATTCATAAATTATATTGGTTTTTGTTGTTGTTTAGGGTTTTTTGAATTAAATGATTTACTGGGGTTTGAAATTCTGGATCTAACTTTTAATATCCAACGAGTATTCTATAAGGGTTCTCCATAAACTTCTCAAATTTGCTTCTTTTTTTATTTTTTGTTTCATAAATGTTGGTTTATGCAGCTTTGAGCAATTTTGTATTAATTTAACAAATGAGAAATTGCAGCAACATTTCAATCAGGTTTGTGCATTTATTTGTGCTCCATTTTTTCTACCGTTCCTTGGGATTTGTAATGCTATCATATGGATAATCTCACATTTGATGTTTTGTTTGGCAGCACGTTTTCAAGATGGAGCAAGAAGAATATACTAAAGAAGAAACTGACTGGAGTTATATAGAGTTCATTGATAATCATGATATTCTTGATCTTATTGAGAAGGTTTGTGCTTGTATTTGCATTGTTTTCCTAAGTGTTATTTATTTTTTTTATTTCTCGTATTATCCATGACTTCTCTTGCCATCTAACATGAAGTCAGTTCTAGTTATTGAATCCTTAGAACAGGACTTCCATAAGGAAGATTCAAATTAACTCATAGTAATGATGCACTTGATCTCAGTGGGAAGTTTTGTATGTGTGTGCCTTCTTTTGGGGAATACTTCCTGAATACTTTGCTCTAAATTTTTGTATCAGCTGTGACTTTTATTGTTGTTCTTATGATTGGTGATTCCTTGCTGTAAGGTGATGTGAATGTTGATGCCAAAATTGTTATTTGACATGATGTCCTAAATATTGAGGATGCAAAGCTGCAAACATCCCTTTTTCCTCCCCCAAACCATTGCAAGACTTCTATCATTATGATTCCAACGAGACTATGGCTATGCAGCTGTTTCTCTCAATGGGAATAATAACTTAATTGTGCTTCTCTTGTTATTGCCTTTCCATATTGCTTGTTTCTTTGATGTATCCCTCGTTTAAGGGAAGAGTGTGTATGCTGAATGATGGAGTCACTGTCGGATACATTTGTGTCTCCTATTCTTATATTTTTTTTTAATTACTCCAGAAACCTGGTGGGATCATCGCTCTTCTGGATGAGGCTTGATATGTATGTGTGTGAATGTGATACAACAGTTCTGTTACTATTATTTGGGCTTGGAATTTTCAAAAGTTAAATGATTGCCTAGTCTCTGAGCTGGTGCTGCACTGTTATACTTTGGAGCTTAGAGCTGGAGTGCAGAATTTTTCAGTAAAGAAGTTGAGATGATGATGCTGCAGGATGGTTGCTGCTCTGTTCTGTTTCAGTGGCTTTCTGCTATTCTGGCAGATTGCTGCTGTGAGCTGACACAGTGAAGAGGAGATTTCAATAGCTGGAGGAGTAGCAGGTCCAGGTTTTGGGTGCTTTCTGAAGTGGTTTTTCTACACTTTGAAGTCTGGATGCTGGATTGTGTGGATAGTTTTATGGCTTTAGTCTTGTTGAAGGATTAAAACCAACTTTTTGTAATTAGAGTTCTTTGAATTCCTTTGCTTCTTGTAATTCATTGATTGATGGAATAAAATTTTTCTCTTTGCCAAAAAAAAAAAAATTAAGTACGAATGTGATTACTGACTTATTTTTAGTTCCATGGCTAATTTTTTCGGAAATCTGGCCGTGCAAGATTGGTGCTTTGTTGAAGGTCTTTAATACATGGTTGTAAATCATTTTTCATGAAATAAAGTGTTGATTTGTTTGAAAACAAAAAATGAGATATTATAAAACATATTTAGGATAAAATTTGAGATAGTTACCAAAAATGTTTTTTGTTTTTATTCTCATAATTTGATAGACAAAAATGACTACCAAATATGTTTTCTGTTTCAGTGTTTACCACAAAACAGAGACAAAAACTTGTCTCTGTTTTTTGTTTTTTGAAGACGCAAAAACAAAAACATTATCAAACGACCTCTAAATTTCAAATTATTCCACAAATAAAATTGTTTCTTGTTTTCTCAACAAAAAGTAAGTTTATATCCCATATCCAAATTTCCCTAGAACAACCTTTTAGTTCTAAAAATACAAGCCGTGCATAAGGCACTGATACATTTTTGCTTAAGAGTGTCAGTGCCTTGTTTTGATGTGCTATATCATAGGTTTTGAATAAATTCTCATTTTTAATGACCTTGAATGTTCGCGAGAAACTTAACGTAAGACTTCTGATAAAAAAAAATTGCCATCTAAAGTTAACTGGATTTTTTAATACTATAGAATATTAACAGCCAATTGTTAACGTGCGTGCACAAATTTCTTCTATCATTTAGCCCTCACCCAGATGAGTTCTTCTCTAAATGACAGTTTTCAGACTGCTTTTGGCTTAGCTTTAGAGCACTACAAAGTACAAACACAGACAACCTGTTGGAAATAGCTTTAGGTCAGTTGCATTCTACAAGTCAATCATCTTAAAACTCTTGAAGACATCCTTTGTGCCATCTGTCAGACAGTAAAATTCCTAACTACTCCCTTCTATTCACTGCATATGTCTGATACAAAATATCAAATTTACTCCATATGGCTCCTTAAGTATTCAAGTTCACAAGGATCCAGACATGCGTTTTATTTTGCTTCATATAAAGCATACCTAATTAATAAAAATTACCAAATTTCCAAGCATAATTAAAAAAAAAAAAAAAAAGACATTTTAAACAAGACAAAAGTTTATACCAGCAAAGATTAAGGCACATTACCTTGCGGCGACCAAAGAAACATCCATCTGGCTCAATTGATCCAAAGAAATCCAACTTCAGTAGACATCCTTTAGACTTGTCATAATATAACCCTCTAATTGGGAATGTATGATCATATTTGAATTCCATGCAACTATCAGGATACCTGCACTGAATAAACCACAGTATACACCAAATAAAAATAATAATCACTTAGAGTCTTTAGCATAACTATAAGCAACATTGCAAAATGGCATTTATTTAAGGCAGTCAAAATTCTAGAACTAACCTCATTAACCAAATGTTCTTTTGCAAGGTCGTATATCAAGGTCTGTAGAGCAGCAGAGTAATTCGCCAATGTATAGTCATAGTCAAACCCATAAACTTGTATATTATCCAACCTCAGATTTTTATTTACATATATACCTATACCCAATACAAAACATAATCAATATCAAATATCGAAATTTGCCCATTGATACAAATGCAAACTACATATTTTGAATCCAGAAGCTGGTACATTATCCAATCTCAGGTTCTTAAGCACATATCCACCTACTTCCAATACAAGAAACTCGGCCAGCAAAAAAATTAATATATTATTCACAAATATTTGTTAAGACCTTCAGGATTCATTTTGGGCATTGCCTTTAAAGCATCAGGAATTTTGAAAAAACTCTGTTTCGCCGCTTGGAATTCGCACCGAAGCTCAGCGACTTTGTCCTTCAAAGCCGTATTACTTGATTTCAATAACTGATTTACTTCGTCTTCGAATTTCAATACTCTTTGGTCCGAAGATACAATCGAGTTGTAGCTTTTACAGCTTCCTCCAAACCCTATATTTCCCAAATTTAAATTAATAATCCTTATTGTGAATATAACAAACATGCAATCATAATATTCGTAGAGAGGGAGAGGTGAGAGAGAGAGAGAAATGGACCTTTGAGGGGAGGATAAGGAACAAGAAGGGAAGATCGGAGAGGGATGAGCCTCCGATAGCACGCCATGTAAGAGAGCGAGATTTTCAGCTCATGGCATTGGAAGAAGGTGCGTTGATGTTGAATAGAAGGCGTTAGGGTTTGTTTGTTTCCTGGGAATTTGTGAAGGGAATTTGAAACTCACGAGGGACTCTCTTCTATGTACAGGAGGCGCCATTTGAAGATTCATTTCACATACGATAAATTACATCCAGACCCCTATAAATTTTGACATCTTTCCAACGAAGCGTCACAAGTATGTAAAATAACATTAGTATCCCTGTGGATAATATTTTGGAAACAGAATTAACCGTAGGGATTTAAAGACCAATTTACCCCAACTGTAGCTCATAAGCAGTGTTTTAAAACCCGGTCCGGCCCGACGGGTTGACCCGGTGAACCGGTCCCCTAACCGGGCCGATTTTGTAATTGGACCGTTTGAGCAAAGAAGCCGGAATAAAGCCGGTGAACAGATCAAAAAATCGGTAACCCGTGAAAACCGGACCGAGTTTACAAAATCGGCCGATTTTGTTCCTTTAGTATAAATATGTTTTTTTTTAACATTTTTGTGTCTTTTTCTTTTCCCCTTCTGTTTTGCCCTAAATCCTAAATCATTCGTTCAGTGTTTGTTAACTCGAAAATTAATTGAATGCAATTAAGTGATTCAAGTTTGAGAGTGGAGATTGGGCTGTTAATTGAATGCAATTAAGTGATTCAGGTTTGATAACTTTGTTTGATTTAATATATATTAAACATGTTATTTTTATAACTATTTTAATTTTTTAGTCTATTTATCATCATTAATAATTATTTTTTATTTTTTTATTATATCACCGGTTCGATCAGTGACCCAGTGGTTGAACAAGAAATCCATTGACCCGGTCCCTTTTCCGGGTTAGTGTCCGGGCCGGGTTTTAAAACTATGCTCATAAGTAAATCCTGAACAACTCAATTTAAATAAATATGATTTGCATTACTGGCATATAAGCTATAGGTTCACCTCCCCCCCTTCCTTCTCCCTCTTCAAAGTAAATATTGAATGTAACGGTCACGTCACGTCAGTATTATCATATTGTATAATCATTCAATAATAAATAAATAAATAGACAAGTAAACCCCACAGTTTTACTCCATTAAATAATTACACCACGTAATAATACTGACATGACGTAACGGTTACACCCAATATTCCCCGCCCCCCTCTTTCTCTCTCAGATATCGCAAGGCATCCCCATTTGTCCCCTCCTTTGTAGAGATTTGAAAAGTGAAGATATATTTTTCAGTTTTGTCGGTAGGGGCACCATTCATGCACCATTTGCCGGTAGGGCACTACATATGCAACATTTAAGTATAAGTCATGTTTAGGAGCATAATTTGAGTACATTAAACATGTTTAAAATGTTAAAATACATCTCCTGTGAGAATTTGAGCCTAAACGAAAATAGTTTTAAAATTTGGACAAAAAAAGTATTCCGAGTGGCCTAGGTGGGATCGGTCAAACCCGGCCACTAGCAAAAATATATATTTTTGAAAAATTTTATTTAAAATAATTTTAAGAACTTTGGTTAAAATAAAATGTCTAATTGAAGCGTTTCGCGACGAGTTATAATGCAATTGGGTCCCGAATTCATTAAGGGCAAAAAAGTCATTTTGCACCTTTGCCCCTCCAATATAAATACAGCCCCTTTAGTGTAAAAATATCAGTTTTTTGGCTGAAAAAGGTCAGTACACGTTTTTGGAGAAAAAAAGAACAAAAATCCTAAGTTCTTCAAGCTTCAAGCCACGAAAACTCATTTCTAGACCAAGATTCTTGCAAGACTTCTTTCTAAGAAGTTGTTCCTCTCAACAAGGGTTATATTCTCACCGATCGGTTTGGCTATAAAGCGAACACAAGTCTCTTGGTTTGAGAAAAACTATTTTAGGTATGATATTTTGCTAAGTTGTGAATAGATTTAAGTTTTCTTGTCTTCCTATGTGTTGATTGGATGATTTAGATGTCTACTTGACGTTAGAAAATCATTTAGTTGGTAGTTGCTTTGAAAACTTAGAATTTATGGTTTAAATATTTTTGTATTTTTTTGAGTTTGTTGACAATTTGTTGTTATGGTAAAGGTGTATATTGTTTATGTGTTGGATTATTATATTCTAGCTTATGTTCATGTATAGAAACTCTTGCGGTTTGAGAGTTATGATTTATTACATGAGTTAGTAGTTGTGTATTTGTAGCTTCTTTGAGAAATTGTGAAAGTAATGAATATGAAGCTTAATCATATGTTTAATCCATTGAATAGTGCTTCACATTCATGTAAATAAGGTATTTGATGAAATGTTTCATAGAATAAACATTGAAAAAAATCAAGGCATCTTGACATACATGAATTCTTCGAACATAGTGTGAATTGAGCACTTGGTGCTATGCATTATGAGGGTGTAGATCCTGTGGTGAAAAACTCAAAATCTGGTCAATGACAGTACTAGCGAGCTGATGGGGGCGAATCGTGAAGCGAGACATGGGTGACATAGAATTGCATGGGTGTGTCATGCATATTGACACTACATAGCATTGAGGGATTATGAGGTTGTAGTTTTTTTTAAAATGTACACGTGCACATGGCACGCCTTAAATTTGTTTTTAGCATTAGCCTTTTGTCATACCAGCAATTGAGCTGACCCATTCGTGGGATATCATATTACAGATGAGGCTTCCGATACTTGAGACTTGAGAAAGTCTTAAATGAAGGAGGGAAAAGGGACTTGAATGGATATTTGGCCTTTAAGCATATTTTGTTTGTATGGGCATAAGCCCAAATGACTTGTATTTCAATTTGAAAAAGTAATGAATTTAGACGTTGGGTCATTTTAAAGTGTAAGGGTGTAAACCCAAATGATATGTATGATATCTCTTGTGTGATGAATATTATATATGTAAATTGGGATAATTAGATGTGTATGTTGAGAACAAATGATGTATGTTTAATTTACATGGATTGTGGCCACCGAATGAGGGTGGGTTGTGATATAATAATGTATATGAAATATTGTGAATATTAGGTGGGAAAAAGACTTCAAAACAAAGGAGGTTATGTCAAAATTTTATGAAAAAAAATAAAAGACTTGTTAAATGTGTAAAACACTTTTTAAATAGGTGGGAATGATGTCAACAATGAGGGGTTTAGAAATCTTGAAGAAATAGGCTAAAAATGGAAGAAAAGTTGCTTGAAAAACTTTGAGAAAACATGAAAAATGAATGAGAAACTAATTTATTCAACCTAATGACATTTCATTTACTTTTCTTCTTCCTTTACACTCACTCCCCGGGTTTGAGGAAATTTGGAGTGTGACATCCCTCCTCCACGACCACCACCCTCCAACCACCTCTTCACTCCGTGACTGTCACCCTCTTCTCGCTTCTCTATCTTTGCAAAAAGCCTCTTCCATCAAGGCGCTGTGTTGGGTGTTTGCTCTAGTTAAGCGTTGGTGGTTTTGAGAGATGGTAGGGGGTGTTCAGTTGTAAGGATTTTATGGGGTTAAGGGCTTTAAGTAGTGGAGGGAGGTTTATGTTTGGTTCAATTTTGAGGTTAGGGGTGTTGCAGAAGTTTTGACAGTGAGGTGCAAGTGGGACAGTATTCTAGAATGAAAGGTTTCATAGCGCGATAAGGGTGGTGGGTTACGAGTGGGATAGGTGGTGTTGTGTGGCGATGATGTTATGCGTGTGTGTATGGAGAGAGAGAGGGAGAGGGAGAGGGAGAGAGAGAGGAGGAGGGAGATGAAATGATGAATATCACATAGGGTGAGATGAGGGTGGTAGTGCGATGCAAAGAGCGACTTGCTGCAAGATTTTGTTGTCGTTCTTTAGCTAGGCATAAAATTATCAAGTATGGAATTTTACTTAATGGTTCAAGTAACAACTACATTGACCAATAATTAAACCCACTAAATTAATTGATCGATACAATATTAGTTTTATATGATGTTATCGACTATGCACTCTCTATTAATGGATAATGTATGCACTAAATAAACTGTTACACAATACAAAATTAATAATACATAACTTAGATCTGACTATACAATATGCATAATTTTACTAATAGGTCATAGATGGATTGTCATTTTTTTGCATAATAAGCAACCTTATCATGTACAATTACGACTATTAATTAGGTCAAAATTGTCAAATTTGAGAGACTTCAAGCTCAACTTGGTTGCAACAGCCTAAGCTCGAATTCAAGCTGAGTTTGGTTAGCTTATCTCTTACTCAAGCTTTGCTCTCAAAAAATTCACAAGCTAAATCCAAGCTCAAAATTTTATGGGTATTTTGTATGCTGCTATTCTATATAGGATTTGTTTGTATAAAAGTTCTTCTGTTAAAATATTTTGTGGAGAAGTCTTTTTTTTTATTCCAAAAATACCCACAAAGGTAAACTGAACAGATGCATTGTCTATCTTTGGAAATCACTGGATTCTATTCACCATCTCCACAAAATCCGACTACTAATTAAGGCCCCAAAACTCGATATTTCAAAATTTAAACAAAACTCCCTCAAATTCCTTCAGTTTTCAACTATAAACAAACCACAGTCCTCCAAAAATGAATTAAGAATTTCTTATTTTAATTGAACAATGCATTTGAATTTTAAACAATATCTTATTTCCCTTTTCTAAAATTGTTCTCATACAGTTATAATTTTCCTTTACTAAAATCTCTCTCACATAATTATAATTTATCTTTCTTATGTTTGTATACAATTGACTCTATCTAGAATTCTCTTCCCCTCTATTAACCTTAAATTCTAGCCTAAAATATCTTTATTAATTAGCTGAAATTAGTCTTTTTGCATTGTTATACTATGATGTAACACTGTCATTCATTAAAAGAAATATATGGATGTCACATTTGTAATATCACAGTATAGGATGCATATTATTTAGATTGTGTATGAATCAGTAAATATAATTTCATAACTTTTTGTCAATGATGAAAGCGTTACATTGTCATGTATCACTGTAATGTCACATTACAGATGATG